GTGAAATTAGTTTTCAGTCGGTTATCACAATTTTACAATTCTCACTCCGTGCTGCCACTTACGTGGGGCAAAGGGATTGCTGTCTGCACAAATAAATACACTTCGGCCTAATGTTTACCGTTAAAACGTTGAGCATCTCCATTTTGTCACCTTTGATACCAACATTACCTTTCCCTGGAGTTCCATTTGACAACTAAGCAATGAACACACCGCAGTGTTGTATATTAGAAATTAAACCTATAATTATCGATGAACATTTTAAATTTTCAAGTGCTGTACAGTAACATAAAGGGGGTAATCAGCAGTATACAGTCCATTCAAAGAGCTAAAACCACAATTTCTGCAACGTGATACGGTATCATTTTCATTTTAAAACTCAACGCACGTCATAATTATATGAACTTAAATATTTGACGTCAGTTATTGTATAACAACAATATTGATACAGTGATTAGAAGTGACGTTACATAACATAAACAGTTATTTGAATTTACATTACAATTTTAAAAAGTAAAGTCCCATAAACACGCAAACGTTGGGCCACTGTTGGTTGACATTGGATTAAGGTTGGCCCGACTTTGCATGTTTACTGGCAGTATAGTTTTTATTATTTTCTTTGCCGGAATGGTGAGAGAGGTGATGGACAATGGCATAACTGTCAAGTGTGCAGGCGGTGTAACTGCAGCAGGGCCCATTAGCCCAGGGATAATGACACAGGCACAGGGCTATAAAGAGAACGGAAAGGTGGAGCATTTAATTCCTTGCACCAGGGCACATGTCACCCACGCTAAACCTCTGGGCCCGCCTCTTTCTCTGAAAGTTTCCCGCCCATTGCACATTGAACAGTTCACGAAAACCTGTGCAATTGACCTTAGGCAGCAGAGTTGGGCTATCTGATTATTTACATTATTGATTCATCTACCGACGGTCAGTTTAAATCACTCAACCGATCGGATGACGCTAAAGTATTTGGGGGGGTGGGGTGGAAATCGCACCTCTATTGTCACGTGTGCCGCTGTACGGGAGGTGCTAGGCTGGGCTTGGTGGTGTCGTTGGCATCGTCAGCTGCGTCACGTTGGGGATGGCTTGTGGTGGGGGAGGGGGTTCCTGCCTTCAAGGGGCCAGGGGTCGTCTCGGCTCTATTTGGCAGCACTCAAGAGATCTGAAATCTGCCTTGCCTGAGCAGATTTTGAAAGTCACTTCGAATAGCATTGACATGGAGTGGGTGAGCGCAATGGCTGCACAAATGGGCGTTCCACCACAACCATTCCATATGCGAAAAAATCCCTGGTAATTCACTTTCGTTGGTCGTTAAAGGAAACCGGTGCTATTGTGCTAAGGTTTTTTTTTTTCATCCACATCGGCTGAACCCTTTTCTGCCCTTGCCCATAGACATATGAATTGCTCCAACAGCAAATCGAGAATTTAAGGCGTTGGCCCAACAATATACTGTGCGCGGATTTACACCACTGCAGAAGTTATTGTCTAGATTAGAATTCACGAACATTCCTTTGCCGTCCGTAAACAATTTAAACAATGTTAATCATTAAGCGTAACATGCCCGATGTGCTCATCGAAGAAAGGTCTTAAGCAGCGCCGTGACGCGCATCACAGAGACGTGGTCAGAAACGACCCAAGAGTAGGGACAGCAAAGGCATGACGGTGGACGATGATCTCAAACAATGACTGTGGCGGCGAAGGAACGGAACGCAACCGCGAGAGAGGACGAAAGCTGGAGGAGACGGAGCGATGGGATCAGCTGGCGCGCAGGGAGTTCTGCGTGGATTGTTTTACATCGCAAGGAGGTGGCTCGGGTTGATCATGGTTGATGATGATGATGATGACGACGATTAGCGCCGTTGGCTAACGTACGGTACGAAAGAAGTTCAACATGCACTCGTACAAAGTGAATCGGTTCCTTTGTTTAAACAAAGATGGGTCTCTCTCGGAGTGTTGCCGATGGACACATAGCAATGCGAGGCTATTAAAACAAATTATGATGATTCGGAGAACATGCAAGTACATGGGAGTGTGTGTCGAGGTTTATGCAAAAGTAATTATATTAATCTGTAAAACAAGCGCCCCAAAACCACCCCGAACAAACAGGTTATACAAAAATGTACAGTGGGTGCACACGCAATACTTAAACGATGACAAAGATTAGGTTTCATATCACAATTTTTTTGTTTGTTTCAGTAAGTGCTGTTAATTCGACTGAAATGGATTAGATATACTGATAGCATGGATAATAATTTATACATAATTTCTAACAACAAATTGTATCCAAACTCAACACCGGCGTCGCTTTCAAATGCATTTCGGATACAGTGAATAGATAAATCATTACACTACTATGATTAAGATGAGTAATTTATCATTCTTGGTTCTGTGCAGGGAATGACCCAGATGCCTGTGACCACCAGGGTGGCCAGATGCCTTGTGACCCCCAATGAAGTGACCCCAAAGATTCGTTTCCTTTGCATATTCATGTCTGTGTGAAGTAAATCTTACTTAAAAAAAAACAAGTTTTGGATAATTAAATGGTGGGTCACAAGACATCTGGACCAACCCTGTATATTGTAAACCCAATTCGTTGATACAATGACGTACAGAACGTCGGATATCCAACTTGCTGGAGAGGAACATGTACATAATGACACCAGCACCCACGCACAAACTGGTGACTGGACGAAAATGCCTTAAACATGGGGACCATTCTTCCCTGGGCTTTTGAAAGGAGGCAAATGTACGCGAGTTTAAGAACGCAATGCGGTACGGCGTGTGCGAAGGTGTCATATTTTGCGAACATCTATGTGGAAATTACAGCCACACCGTTGCACAAATACCACACACTGCGCTGGATGTGTGGGGGCAGGTGATTGGTCAGGGCGAATATGCGACGTCCGGATATACGGTGTTACACTGTGGCATGCTATTCATATGTAACTCTGTTGACGGATTTTTTTTTTCCAGGTCCTACCATGTATGTGGGAGAAGGGGGGGGGGGCAAAGCTGAATTGTGCATATTTATTGTCAACACTATTGAAGTAAATCAGATGAAGAAAACTGCACTGGCTTCCGTCCTACGGATGGCTCATATTGATCGGGCTGACGCTAAGTTAATCACCACAATCTTGGCAGGCTGCTGGAGCGCGGTCAAAGCATTAGCCATTGATTTTGGAGACGACCCGTAGAAGACAGGTGCTGTCAATGTGAATGTGGAATTTCCAGCACGGGCTCAGGGCCCTGATGACAGAGCTGAGTGCCGGCTAACGCTCCCGCGAAAATCCTTTGGCAATGCGAGAGAAATGCCAGTCAGAACATTCTAAACAGGAGGTGGTCAGGTTGCTCAGAGGTCAGAGCACTGATGAGAACCTGGGTTCGTATCCAGGTTTTAACCGCCTGTGATTAAACCGTGGTTCTCAAATGTAGTCAGTTGATGATCCAAGCTTGGTCACCAATGACTGTAACAACAAAAAACCCACTACGTAAAAGACCAAATTGGTTCTTTACTTAATTTGGCTAATTTTCAGTTCTGACAATAACGTAATGGTGTGACTGTCATGCGACAAACATTCCTATCATATGCAGGATGAGATGCCACGTGACGGTATCTTAGAGGTAGCTCTGCGGTAACCACTTCCGTGGGCTGTTCTCTCGAACATAAAAGGTTGCACTGCCTGGCAAGAGATCCAAATGGATAACCCAAATCAGGATAAAAGTGTGGGTAAACAACAAAAAATATCTATTTATAAAAAGGAACGTCAAAATAGTCTCCAATGCAAATAAGTGCATGCTGGTGCTTCTCTCCTGTTAACAGCCCTAAGATATTTGGTGTGCATTCCACATCCCTATGGCGTGTGTGAGTCAAAACCGGTGACTTCTGGTATTATACGGAACTCCTCTTACCTGTGACAATGTGGGAGACGAACATCACAGATAGGTGTTATCAATTTATTTTTTTCTTGCAGACCCTAAAGCTCCCTTTGTTGCTTGGAGTTACGGATAATATGGTCACTGATAAGAGGAGTTCTACTTCGCTGGCACTCATTAATACTGACCACTGAGGGATGAAGTTACGAAGGGCCGAGTTTGACCTCTGACCGGGATTTTAACTGGTAACCTTTTCCGATTGAGAAGCCGTGTGCTCTGACCACAGTGCCACCTGGCTTGTAAAATATGTTACTGGAGGGATTGATTATTAACTTGGACATTGGCCCGTGACAAGTCTGACCTGTGCAAGAATAATAATAATGTACTAATAACTGCAGGTGACCCATGCCTCCAAAGCACTGCAGCAGCTGTAGCTGAAACGCCCCGTGAAGAGAACGAATGGGGACTTTGTACCCAGGAGCAGCACAGCATCATGCAGACGAATCCAAAAACAAAGATCCCCGTGTAGCCTTTAACAAACTATGGGGGCAAGTGCTATTAGTGAGAACCTATAAAGTCCGGCACAGCACACAAGGGTGGCCAGCACCACACCTGGCTGCATTTGTGCCCCCAAGTGGTGATGTTTACACACCGCACCAGGTACTAATTTAAGGCTGAGTCGACCGAGGGGAGAAGACCTGGGACCGGTTAAGATGATTAGCTGTTGGTGGCCGTAAGTGGGAATTTAACTCGGGTCGTAGGAGGAGGTACATCAATCAATTCCCGATGCCACTAAATGGATTAGCAGACTCAACACACAGTTATCATGGTTTGTACGTTGCTCTTCAATAGCACATGAAATACATAATTAAGTAAAGAATCCCCACCCTGAAGAATCCTCTGTCTCATTATTCAATTCATTCACAGTTCAAGTCGCTTCACTATCACTCGAAATTTGATCCTAAAAGTGGGGAAACACGTGGATGCCACTGGGAGCCTGGTCCAGTATGTATGGATGTGTTCAGATTTCTTTGGATTTGTCTGTAAATATTTCTCGAGATTCCATGAAATGGTCACAACACTCCATTGACAGGGAAACACACGAAACAAATCATAACGAACAACTGTAAACGTAACAAGTTATTTTATTTGATATGAAAATCGGTAATTATAGTTTTGAAATACAGTACGTTAGCACTGAACTCTTTACTCTATGCTATTGCAGCACTGCAGGCAATATTTTTGCCAAGTTTTTAATCAGCAAATACATTTCGTGACTATAAACTAGGGAAATTATATATTATTAGGAGGTAATACCTACAACTCTTGACGATGTGGATTAATATATTGCATTTCAAGATGCCGTACAAGAACTGGGCAAATAATGTTGTACAGAGGCAGAGAGTCATAGGAAGAGGAAAAAGGGATATGAGACTTGAATAGAGGCAGGGAACCGATAGCACGGATAGTATGCATATAAATATCCTAAATTGTTTACTTTGCGTAATACGTCTAGTTCATTGTCTAGTGGCGTGATTCCAGCTGTGTATTAAAGGTATTAAAGATCCAGTATCAGCGCATTATGTGTAATACCGTCCTTGGGAAATCGTCTATTGACATTTGTAACAACCTAACAAGATCCATTCACCGACTTCTGGAGAACTGTTTGGCGACTTTTCCGCTGCAAGGAGTTTGCAACAGCCATCGGGCATGAAGCCGTCAAATGTTAAACTGGGACAAAATACGGATTTTCACAAAAGCTTCTTGGGGAAGCGCTGAGCCAACTACCGGGGGAACTGTCCCAGCCCAAACCGGACCGTTTGGTGGCTTTACTTGAGAGGCTCGATGTGGACTTCCCCAGGCTGAAGGCCGTAGTAGAGCGAGCCTGCGGCCACGGCCGCCCAGGCCATGCGCTCGGTGGAGCAGCGAACCCCCCAGCACCCGTCCCGGCCCAGCACCACGGCCCCGCCGTGACCTCCGACCCGGTCGCGCATGTGGCTCAGTGCCAGGGCCGTCGCCTCATCCGGGGACTTCCCTTGGGTCGGGGCACAAGGGGCACATCTTGAGATGCAAGGGCAGCACCGGCGTGGTGAAGTATGGTCAAATAACCTTCCACGGCCCGTATGGCACGGGGAGACCTCCATCTGGCAGTGAATTAACAAACGGGCTGTACCTCTGATTAGCACGGTTGGTTACTGAGGGTGCGAAAAAAGTTCGACATACGTACGTATGTTGCACATGTACAACGGCAAATAATTACGTGCTTGAAAAATTCAAGTTGCGTTGCATGGCGTTGATGTGGATTTTCTACAGGTTTTCACGATGAAGAGGACAGCAGAAGATGAAGAGGACATCAGAAGACGAAAACGTGTATATTCAAGGCTGGCACGGCCCGGTTTTATTCATTCGGGTTTTAATCGGTTTTTATATAAAACCAGAGCACCTTGATCCTGCCCAAATCCGGTTTTATTCGGTTTTATTACAGTTAAGTTGGGATTTCAGTCGCACGCACCCATTAGCGGCGTTCGGGCCATTAGCGGCGTTCAGTCGAGAAGCTCGTCTTCATTAAGTCGAACCTCAACGCGTTCTACGACGACCCGACGCCCGACGACGGCGACAACAACACCGAGTCCAGCAGCGAGAGCGACGACGAAGATGACGCGGTAGCGGCGGACGACGACGAGGAGCAGGATTGAAGTGTGCACGAGACGCCGATAATAAAACCAGGGTTTTAATCGGCAAAATCGGGTTTAATTCCATTAAAACCAATAACCCGATTTGTCGGGCAAAAAAAAATCGGGTTTTTCCCACCCTTGGTATATTGTGGAAAATCTCATGAGTATTTAGTACTGAGAAACTGGCGCATGGACTAGCAGAAATGAAAGGTCTTGTGACTGACTGGCTGTCGATAACGTCCGCAGATGAAATGACTACGGTTGGAGCAGCGTCGTCTTGTTTGAGATCTTTCCTCACCGACAATTCTTTGAATATTGAGGCCATCTGTTGCGTAATGACTTCTCCCCGTGTGTCTGTTTCTATACGGCTGCTTGCGTATGGTGCTGTACGTACAACCGGGGCCCTGCGCGGACAGGTTCCATCGTGCACGGCCCGGTCTGTGTGCGTTGTGTCAGGAGACAGGTGCGAATGTGATCGTTGAAAGATTTGCTGAGTGCATGCCTCTGGCAAAAAAAGAAATCTCTCATCTGCAACTTTTTTTGAAAGAAGAACAGCCAGAGGACAAAAAAAAAACAAATCTCATTCGGAATGAGCTACCTGCATGCTCGGTACTCTACCCTACAGGATTATGCAGGTAGCTCTGTGTGTGTGTGTGGCGTCGTGGTTATTGCACTGTGGTGAGCGATAGTGTAGTGGTTAGCGCACCGCGCTACGGACCAGGCGACCCTAGTTCGATTCCTGCTCATGACCAACACCAGTGACGATTATCTTAACCGGTCTTTGGTCTCCCCTAGGTTAACTCAGACTCAAATCAGTACCTGGTAAGGTGTATAAACATAGCCACTGGGAGATAAAGGTGGCTAGGCGTGGTCCTGGCCACGGCACCCTCATTGTGTGCCGTCTCAGCCTGCATCCGTGCTTGCTAATAGCACTTGCCTCAAAAGGTTATCCTGGGGATCTTTGCGTGTTTTTTTTCTACACACCGTAACAGGTAAATCATTTCAGGCTGAGATGACCTTGGGGATAATCAGGCCCGAGAACAGCCAGTGGAAAAATATGAGCACAGTGCCGTACCCCTACGGGTTGTGCAGGTAAATCTGTGCGTGTGGGTTTTTTTACACACACCACTACAGGTAATCACAATTTAAGGCTGATTTGACCTAGGTGAAGGTCAGGAGAAGTTCTGTGTCAGGATTGTCATTGAAGTGTCCAAAGCTCAGCGAGCCACACTTAAGACACCCGGGAATTATTTTTGTACAGTAAAATGAATTACAGTAGGGTAAGATAATTCAAGTTTCTATAGTTGATAATCATTTACAGGGTGCATGCACACCAACGCTGGCATGGATGTGCATTCCATGCTAGTAAAACTTCACACGATTAGCGTGCATAGTTCATCAACTGATGCCGTGTACTCTGGCTGGAGATTGAACCTGGGTTTCTGAGTTTGTTGCGCAAGTGTGTGAACAACCGTTCCCCAGTACTATACTGGGGAGACAAAGGTGGCAGGGTATGATGAATACCGCACAACCTTGTTTTACGTGCCCACAATAATAGGGCCACAGTGGCGAGATGTTAACTACCTCACCTGGTATACAGGAGGTCGTGGGTTTGTTCACGACCCTGATGCCTGTATATTTGGAGTGTGCATGTCTCTGCCCGTGGTCGCGTGGATTTTTACTCCGGATCCTCTGGTTTTCCCCTCCACATTTAAAAACATGCGTTTATAGTATTTGGCTGCTATACATTTACATATGATAAGCCACTTCGTTGAGCTATCATGTGTGGCCAGGTCGCTTCTGAAAAAATAACTATATAGGTCTGTGGGTCTTACCTGGTAAAATAGAAATAGTTAATAGGTTTATTTTTTATTGTTTTATATATATATTTTATTATTTAATTGTTTCCCTTCAACGTGACTTTACCGAAAGAGCTAAGAATATAGTTAATAGGTGTTCACCAACAGCACCGGCCCATATGGTCTGCCTGGTTAAATGAGTAATCTTCGTCATTGTGCGTATGCATTTATCAATCTGAAGAGGAGCTCAACTCAAAACTCTTGGCTGAACGGTGTGCGAGACTCAACAATTGATCTTTGTTATATTTCGTAAAATCATAAATAAGCATAATTCCCACCGGTGCCTCCACATTTTAATAAAGAAAAGTTTTTTAGTCCATTGGCCTCTTGGCTTTCTGAGCCCCCATCATGCCGTGGACGTGTGTCATTTATCGTGCAACCGTTTATATTCCATGCCACAATGGTGGCGCGACATGGGCTCGAACCCTGTCAAATGCACGGCACCGCTGTCAAATTGTCGATGCGAACCTGGCTGGCGCCTAGCTTCGGTCGACGGCGCCTCAAGAGGGGAATCTACTGTTGTGGACGAGTGAGCGGCTGGCGGCAGTGGCGTCACTTCTCCTTGCTTCATATGCAGAGTCAGCCTTCATAGGCGCTTGCTAACGCACTTTATCACATGCAGGGGAAGTGTTGGTGGGGGGCGGGGGAGGTACTTGGTCTTTGTGAGGCACCTTGGGACGACCTTGCCATACCGCGGGTGCATGCATGCGTTCGGGGCTGCTGGCGGTGGTCGGTTTGGTAGATTTTTTTTTCCACGGTAAAAGTCACGTGAAACTGCGTGACGATTCTTTGGGCGCATGCTCCTTTACATCCAGGTAGCGCGCCACGCTCATACTTGCACCTACCGTATTCTCCAGATTATAAGTCGTACTTTTGTTCCTCCCAGTATTTTAAAGTAATGTTTGGGGATGCGTATTATAATCTGGTAGGTGTGTGTGTGTGAGAACAGATTTGGTTAACCGTATTGACACTTGGGCACTCGTTTGGGGTGCGGCTTATTTTCTGCGGTGTCTTAAAATCTGGAGATTACGGTAAATTCCATGGACTGCCAACTCGAGTCGACCACAGCAATATTTGCGAGTACTGTAGGAGGCTGATGTCCAAAACCACATGGAATGTGCCGATCCTATCAGACCTCAGAAGCTAAACAGTGTTGAACTTGAGGGTTTTTATTTTAGAAGTTATGGGTAACAAAGGTTCCAACTTACATGCCAACGTTGGTCCAACGTTGCATGTTTACTGGTGAGGCACCAGAGAAACTTGCATGCAACTTTGTAAAACTTTTCCAATGATGCACAGGCAACTGTAGTTACCATCTGTCCAGGTTTTCCCCAGGGCCATTCTGTAATTTGAGACAGCTTTTTTGAGAAATGTGACGTTAAAAGTCCCGGGTTTTTGTTGTCAATCGCATAACAACACGCCACTCGAGGCAATGCACGTGCAAGCGAGCTCTCCCATCTTCTGGCATTGCGAGATATTATTCTGCCCAGTTTCTTGTACATCAGAGGTGGCGGGCAAGCCTTATATCCCCCCCCCCCTCCCATAGGTCAACTCAGTCTCAAATGAGTACCTGACGCAGTACGTTGGACGTCACGGATTTGGGGAGACAAAGGCTGCCGGGCGTGGTTTCTGGCCACACCAACCCATCAGGCGTTCCGCCGCCGTCTTTAGGAAGTGCTCTCGAATGGAAACTTGCACCTGCGGTCTTGAAGCTACACGGGGAAAGTTTGTTGGGATCTCTGTGTGTGTGTGCGCGCGTTGGATATTCTCCCTTTCGTGATGTCCGCCTGCACTCTTTGATTACGCTCCGGGAAATCTATTAATTACCACTGCTTTATTTTCTATTCATCATGTGACACTGTCGTTTCAGCTCTTGATTTTTTTATTTGCATAATTGCCCAAGTTTTTTTTTCTATCCGTTATCATTTTTGGTGACCCAGGTGCACTCTCGCAAGTGAGACTCGACCCTGGTCGTCTTTTGGTGGACTACTACTGACGTGTTTTAATAAATAAATAAACCGTTTAAAAATAAATAAATTTATGCAAACCGACACACCTGATGACGACCGTTTGTGTTATGGTCGAAACGTCGTGAGATTTTTTTATTTTATATATATTTTATTGTTTCCCTTCAACGTGACTTTACCGAAAGAGCTAAGAATATAACTTGTGCTGCCAATGTTTGAGAATAGCAAGGCGTGAGCTGTACCAGCCAGCGCCGCTAGGAGTCACTCGTCACCGCTACGGGGTCACGCAATGCATCATCAGGCTTTCGAAGCAAAACCTAAGCAGATTGCCAGACAGTGGAAATCTAGGCAAGGAACGGCACTAGTTTAGCCAATAACCTAAACAAATATATATTTTCTAAACCACACGAAGAAGTTTAGAAAAAAAGTAATAAAAGATTTAGATTTAAAAATGCAATGTCGCGGATCCAACCGTCACATATCCGCCCTGACCAATTAACCGCCCACACCCAGTGCAGTGCTTATGCAAGGTGCAGCTTTCACCATCGATAATACGTCCACAAGTCTGACGCACGTGTTCCTAATCTCGCGTTACTTTCACTCTGTAAAGCATGGTTCCCACGTCGAAAGCAGCTCTCGCGCTATATGTTTGCCCCGATTTGTACACGCGTTTGTGTCACTGAAAGAAGTTCAAAACGTACATGCATGCGGACTGTAATTTTCCACGCATATCATTTTCGGTTATCCGCCTACAGTAACAAAAACGTCAGTGCGTTATTGACTCACATTACGACATATGTAATGCAATGCAGTGAATTGGCAATAATTTGTTGCTGGTGCAATGTAATGATAATTAAAATGTATAAAGCGGCGGCCTGAAACGATCGTTCTCACACGCAATTTCGCACGCGGTCGCACGCACGCACGCACGCGCACGCACCGGCCTCCATGTGGAACAGGATGAGTCGCGCCAGCGTGACCTTCATGATCGACTCTCCGTGCCCGGTGGTGGAAACGGCGCCCACAGCGTTATCCGCGTAGCCTCCGCACCCTTGCACAAAGACAAACACAGACTGCTGGGGCAAGCGGCGTTAGCGAATAGCACCAATGAAGACCGGCCCGGCACACGGGGTGGCCGACCTTACGCCCGGCCGTCTTTATCTCCCCAGTGGCGATGTTTTGCGTTTGGCACCAGTTTCTCACTCGAGGCTGAGTCGACCTAGAGGAGGCCCAGAACTGGTTCAGATAATCGTCGCTGGTGTTTGCCGTCGGGCGGGAATTGAACTCGCGTCGCCGGGCTCGAAGAGCGGTGCGCTCACCGCAATGCTACCGCTCCCCACTACCGCACCCTTGCACAGACACCACACACGGATGTCATAATAATGTTTAGTTTCAGATACTGTTCATGCAAATTGCATCTCTCGCAATTGCTGAGAAGCCACGCAGCTGGAATGCAGCAGCCAGACAGTGATTCGGAGCAGCCAACTATAACAGGGTGCTTCAAAAAAATGTTGACACTTTGGAGAATTTGCAACAATACCACAATAAATGTGCTTGCCTCTGGGCTCTGGTAACCACCTGGAGAAGATTCCAGGCATGTGTTGACAATGGTGGGGAACAAGTGGAGACTCTTTGACTTTTTGAAGCTATTAACATTTACATTTGTAATAACAATAGAGCCTACATACGGTAGGTAATAACAGGGGAGTCAGCCTACCGTGCGAATGCACTAGTGGCCACCGGAGGTAATGACAGGGGTATCAGTTGTGAGTGCGGAGGGACTGGTGGCTACGGGAATGTTCAAGAAGGGAGTGTGGTCAGGTGACGGAAGAGGACGGTGGAGTCTGCCGGTGGAGCGGGCGTCCAGAGTCAGCGAGAATGATCGAGAACGGGGGCGTGGCCTCGTGTTGGTATATAAAAGGGAGATGCGCGGGAGACTCGGGGCTGTTGAAGTGGGGGTCTCTGCCTGATGTCAAGTGAACGTGTCTTCAATGAAGTGCCATCTCAAGAGAAGTGTGTCAAGCCGTCATTACACATTTGTTATCATGTTAGAGTGCATTATCCGTTATTCTTCCATTAAAAACGATAGTCCCATGTTGACGTTTTTTTGAAGCACCCTGTTTTGGGTGGAGGTGGTGGTAATTTTTCGTGTGTTTTCCGCCAATTAATGAGTGTTTATACACGAGCGAGGAAACCGGCGCACCTGGAGAAAAAACCCACGTGTGTGAGGGGTCAACACTCTATCCCCATACAGATGGAAAAGATGGAGATTAGTCCACATTTTTTTACCGCCTTCTGCTGGCGAGCCAGGGATTGGCACCTCCTCGACACCCACGGCAAGAAAGTTTCACGACATCTGTGTGCGATACACCAACCCTCGCCTCCAAGAGCAATGGGATTAAAGGCCACGTGCGTTAGCGATTACTGCCCAGCGATGAATATACGCAGATATACATGCAGATATTCACACAGATACAGATACTCATATATACATGTAAATATATGTAGAGGAGTAGTGTCAGTAAAACAATGAGGGGGCGAGCGGAAGGAGGTTCGAGCGGGTTGAGAGTCATGCGGGGTCAAGGGTGACGTAACGTCACGGGTTATGTAAGGGGCTTTCGTAAAGCACTTTCGGGAACATGGGCGTGGCCGAGCTTGGGGGAGGAGCCGCCCAAAGGGTTCTTAAGGGGGACCCCGTGACGGGGGCATGGTCGTCATGGGGAGCCAGGGTAAGGACCGGCTGGAGTGGGGTCTCTATGGGGCCGTCCATAAATGACATCACGCGTCACAAAAAGTCAGACCCCCTCAAATATGACGTCACAAAACTCTGCCCCCCCCCCCCAAAACCATATTTCAATTTAAAAAATAAAACATGCTTCAAATCACTTTAAACTATTGTCATTGTAGTGCGTATTTAATGTGGCGCTGCACTCTGATGTTGTAGGAGAAAACATGTATTAAAAAGGAGGCGTTGGAAAGTTGAAATTTAGCATAAAATTCAACGTCTAAAACTGCAGATGTTCAGAATATTATATTGAAATTCTCTTACAATTATAAAATATTAAAAGTAATTATAACTATTAAAAAAATATTGATTTTAAGCTTTCGTGACTGCAGGGATTCATATTCTTGGTTCTTTTGGTAAAATCACGTGACTTTACCGAAAGAACCAAGGATATTAAAACATACTTGAAACTTTGTCGGAGAACGAAGAAAAATGGAGAGTACAATTATAACAATCACATTCATTTCACAGAATGAAAAGCCCTGGTAGAATCATTAGAATCAAAATGTTTAATAACAATAATTCAAAACATTACAAAATGTATGGAGAAGCAAAACGCTCCTTCATAGAATAAATAAATGGTGACCTTAGTAAATTTAAATAATCAAATAGTTAATAATGGAAATTAATCAAAATTAGTGTTGTTATAACAATTCAATTAATTAATATTTATTTAAAGTTGCGCATTTTGATGTGACGTCACATTTCTAAACCCCCCCTCCCCCTCTCGTCACACATCGTCACAAATGTCTGACCCCCCCTCCCCCCCGCCTAGGTGCGTGACGTCATTTATGGACGGCCCCTATCCTCGTCGCAGAGCGGTGTTGGCTGATCCCCCGCTCCGAGCAGACGAGTGAGAGAGCCAAAGGGATAGCCGAGGGTAGGGTCCAAATAGTATTCAGTGTTACGGTGAAGGACCGAGATAGAGTGCACCTACACTGGTGTGAGTGTAGGATGCCGAGTGTCAGAGTGTTTTAATAAACGGCAACAGCCCTTACAGTATTCATAGACAAAAGACCTCCCAATTAGCCTGTAAAGGCGGAAAATACATCGGAGAGATAATTGCATCTGAAACAAACTGAGCAGGCAATTTCTCTTGATATGTATAATTTTTGTTTAAATATAACATTCGGCAGCCTTGTCTCCCACGTAATGAGTTAATTTCAGTACTTGTGAGTTGCTAACTACACGAGGGGAAATCCTCACCACACGTGGGCGCACAATCGGGGACAATCTCTGTCGTCTTTATTACGGACGCGCCTCTAACATTAAGAGAGGGGGGGGGGGGGGAGTGCTACATTGCTTTAACTTCAGTGGTAGCGATAGATTGCCGAATAGTAGCATGTGACGGCCAAAGTAGTAGGAGGTGGAGGGTATTGTACTGGGGACCGCTCAACTCCACAAGCATTTAGATCGGCTCCATAATCTATTGGTGGTGGGTTCCAAAAGGGGCTATTGCGCCCTGATATTTTTCGACGCCCGTTAATTATAATCGTTTCAATTGTAAAATAACAAAAAAAATGTGCGTGAACTAATTGATTGCCCAATAAGCAACCAGTACTTGAGGCACTGGAGTGTTTCCTTTGAAACAGAAACATGATTTGCAATAGTTCAGAGTTACAATTGTTTTCCTACCAAGTTGGAAATACGTTTTTTTTTTACTAACTTGACAGTGCTATTTGTTGCCGGCCTGTGGCTCAGCAGCCGTGTTAATGTTTTACTGGCAACCTGCACGATCTTTGGACGTAACCGTCCGTGCGTCCATCCTTTCCTCCGGACGTGACCGTTCTTTGGACGTCACCGTTACAGGGGATAGGATAGTAACAGAAAAGTAATAGACAACACGCAGCCAGCAAAACTTATATACGTATATAATACAGTAATGTCTCCTGTGAAACGTGCATCTGGGTGCGCCACTGCATGCGCACGGTAGAGTACTACTATACGGTATTTCATTCTTGGCTGACCTATCGAACAAAGACGGTCGCCACATCGTGCGCTTTCAGATGCGCTTCTGCGGCCGTCCTGAACAATCTTCCTTCCGATGTTAGGATGTCATGAGGAGCTATGCACTTTTAAACCATCATCTAGATCAGGGGTGGGCAAATTTTTTGGCTCGCGGGCCACAATGGGTTCTAAAATTTGACAGAGGGGCCGGGCCAGGAACAGATGGATGGAGTGTTTGTGTGAACTAATATAAATGACATGTAAAAATCATTACATGAAAGGATTTGGCCTTTAACAGGTAGCAAAGCATTTATTTGCAAGGCAATTTAACAAATTGCACGAACATGAACAATACAAAAACATGTCGTAACTCCCGGTCAAAGTGCGCCATCTAATGGGGAAATGGGGACATTACAGGAGAAAGGTAAAATTTAATTTAATAATAATATTTGGACAAGTTCGGCGGGCCGGATTAAAAAGCCCAACGGGCCGTACTTTGCCCATGTCTGATCTAGATTGAAACCAATATATTTTTTAGAACTGCTTTTTGTCTTTAGTTTGTTGTCCATCCCCCCGCACCTCCGTTTAGCACGGATGGCTACGTACGGCGCGAAAGAAGCTCAACATACGTACGTACCCACGATGGGGCTGTCTCCGACGCGACCGGGCATCTTGTTGGTGATGCCCCCTGTGGAGGTGGCACACGCCACGTCCCCCCGCGCGTCCAGGGCCACCGCACCCACGGTGTCGTGGGCCCTGCGGACAGACGGCCGCTTTACAAACACACATAAACACACGCATATATATAAAAAACACATTGTACGTGTGTATATGTATGTTGAACTTCTTTCGTGCTGTACGTTGCCAAACGTGCTAATCGAAGGTGCGGGGGAAGTACAGTAACATACAAGACACCCAATCTTCGTGGTCTATTGAAGCCTCACGCGCTTTCAAAGACACAGAACAACTAAAATCCTGTGACAAAAACTCGCTGAGTTGGCGTAGCTGCAGCGCGCGCGTGTCCGTGCGTGTGTCCACGCGTGTGTCCGCGCGTGTGTCTGTACATGTGTCCGCGCGTGTGTCTGCGTGTGTGTCTGCGTGTGTGTCCGCGCGTGTGTCCGCGTGTGTGTCCGTGCATGCGTCTGCGTTTGTCCGCGGGCGTTGTCCATGTGTGTCCGCGCGCGACGCACCGCTCCGAGCTGAAGAGCGCCCGCACGGCGTGGCGGTAGCGCCGGTAGCGCTCCCATTCGGAGCGCGCCGCCTCCGTCACGAGCTCGTGCTGGGGCACGCGCGCCACCCCCTGCGCCTCGGCGAAGCGCGCGGCCCCGGCCGCCGTCAGCATGGCGTGCTCCGTCTGCAGCGTGGATTTTTCGCACCGACACGGGACGATGATGATGATGATGTGGAGAGGTCGGTTTAACGTGTAGTCGGCTTTCGCCAACCGATGCCATTCGTGTAGCAAAGATTTGCTTTTGGATTAGATTGCGTAAATATAAATGTGTCGTTAACCCACCACCACCCGACACAGCCAATGAGTAAGGTTTGTCACTTAAACAAAACGTGGCCAATTCGTTACTCGTACAGCACACCGGTGTGTTGGAGAGTAAACCCACAACACTTATAATTCGAGTACGATGTTTCGCTGGTGATTACAACCAGCTTCATCAGGCGATTGTAAGAATTGGCTGAGGTCGGGTGGTGGTGGGTTAACGACACATTTATATTTACGCGATCTAACCCAACAAAAACCTTCACGATGAACGATGAGAGGCGGAGGAGGACTCGGTGAGGGTTCCCTGCAAGTGCTCGCTTGCTGGCGGACAGGGCCCTACCCCCACCGGAGGGACTCGAGAGTGGTATATTTGGTCTCCTATTCCACCAACGTTGTCAGGAAGTTGTTGGAAGAGGTGGCGTGTGTACCCACGCTTTAAACTCCACCACGCGCGATCTGCTAGTCAGCTGTCGCTCGACTAGCTGGGGTGAACCCATTTATCCAGCTGGGCAAACAGAGGCAGTGGGGGGAATTTACTAAACTTGCGTCGTTGTTTCACCTGCAGTGCTGGGAGAGCGAACTGGTGACCCTCTGGAGTGCAAGTTCAGGGTGCCGACCGTTAACCATCGCGGAAACTCCGGTCATTCTCGCAGCCGCTTTTGGCTAGCCATCGAACAAAGACGGTCACTTCGACGCGCGATTTCAGATGCGCTTCTGCGGCCATGTGGAACGCTCTTCCTTCCGTTATTAGGAAGCCACTGGAACTATGCACTTTTAAAGCTAGATTGAAAACTGATTTCTTTAAAACTGCTTTTTGTCTTTAGCTTGCTGTCCTCCCCCCGCACCTCCGTAAAAACATGGTAGGCTACGTACGGTGCGAAAGAAGTTCAACATACATGCACCACAGTATTTGCAACTATACAAACGCATTTAGACCTGACAGACGCGTGTAGCTCTCGGGGGATATTTGGTCTCCTCTTTCACGCTGGCCAAGCATCTTGGGATTGCCGATGCTTTACCCTATCGCACGTGACGTGCCGATTGACTGCCTCACCGTGGCGTGCCGTCTTACACTGCTGGTGGCCCATCGTTTCAACTACCGCGCCTGGAAGATGGAATCGAACCGGCGACCTCTGGATTGCTGACCGTTACGCCAGGGCAGGTTTCTTCACACACAGAGGTACGCTTCGATCCACTGCTGGACGAGGGCCTACGCACACTGCCCGGGTTGTAGGGGTTCGTTTAACCAGACCTCACCATGCTGGAAAGCTCGCGGACGGCTCGGTTGTCACACCTACACGAGCCATGGCCACGATTTGAACCTCATGTTTGCCGTGTCCGTAGCACAGTGCAGCGCTATCCGCTTGCTCCTTGCTCTCCCCCACGTATCTACAAATGCATATTTTGTTGTTGCGCATGGCGCGCGTTATGTCCACAGGTACGGGTGGGAGCGAAGGCACAATAATGGTTAGCGCACTGCACTGTGAACCCGCCAAAAGGATTTCAATTCCTGACCACGGCTAACATCGGGTGCGAGAGATATTCCCCACCACCCCCCCCCCCCCCATTAAATAACCCGCACTGACCAGCACGGTGACATGGATGATATAGCATAGGGAGGCCTTCGTCAAGCGATGGATTATACAAAAGGGCTGTATATTATTATTATTGTTACTACGAATGCTGGCGTGTGAACGTGATGCAGTGTGTAAACTGCTCGGCTGTTGGTTTGCGGGAACTGGGAGCGGTGTTTGTCGCTCAGGATCCTTTGGGCTTCACGAGAACTGGGCGTGGGCTTGGCGGCTCAAATTTAAATTCGACCTTCGCGAGGTCACGCGTGCTACGATCGCCCGATTTGGAGCCGGGCAATGTCTTTAACGCGACCTTCAGGGTGACGTGGCGACGAGGAATTCAATCGCCGAGCAACCCGAGCTGAAAATCCTGAATATCCCCCCCCCACCCCCAATCCTCTCCCCCTCTTCCCCCACACAAGCAACCGACGGTCATGGTCGGCACTTGGTATTTTTTAAAGGTTGAATTTTGAAAAATGTGGCGTTCGCCTTTCATGTAGAAATCCTTAAATGTTATTTGGGAGCAGTTGAATGGCTGGAATCCTACAGGCTAAGCCCTGCATCTCCACGGTGAAATCACTATTTAGCACGGTTGGCTACATACGGTGCAAAATAAGTTCAATATACATACATCACTGCTACAAATCATTTGCAGCTGATTGCCCATGGACTGGGAACACTTTTTTTTCCCTAAGCTTACCTACACACGGGTCAACTCTCACCGACTAATACTACTCATACATATAGTACTTGAAAATACACAAGAGGGGATGGGTGATGAGCCAGTGGTGGAAGTTCCACATTCCCATGGTGGATGCGAGTCTATTCCGAGGGAAACCATTGTTGACTTCCCCACAAAGTGATGCTAACATTTTCAACCAACAAGCAATGTTTGATCTCGCAACATTTTGATTGGGCGCCCCAGATGTTAACTACCTCGCCTGGCATAGGGGAGGTCATGGGTTCAATCCTTACCCTGATGGTTGTGTATTTGGAATTTGCATGTTCTCCCTGTGGTCGCGTGGATTCTTCTCCGGGTCAACATGCGTTTCGAGTATTTGGCTGCTATACATTTCCACATGATGATAAGTCTTTTTGTCGAGCTATTAATTGTAAGCAGGGTCACTTCTGAAAAAGGGCGATATAGTTCAGTTGGCTTTACCTGGTTTAATAAAATAAAAAGTTCGGTTTAGTGTAGTTTAGATTGGGAGCAGCTCGCTCTGCCATCGAGTTACCGCCCGATCCTCTCTTGAAACGGGTGCACAAGAACGCACACACAGCGCTGTCCCCTGCCTATCACCGCACCTTCTCCATGACCGCACGGGCCAGGCTGACCGGGTTCGCCACCCCTTGCACGCACGACACGGAGCCCAGGCGCAGCGTCCTCCCGTCCATCATGAGCGCGTCCATCTCCACCTCGCCAGCCTCCGTCAGCACCGAGCCATGGCCTGGGAGGAAAGTTGCACGGTCATAAACGAAAACATTTTTTGCTATAATATTGGCCTTGACATAAGAGGCTCCAACCTAGTTGAACTTCTTGTGCACCGTACGTAGCCAACTGTTCTAATCGGAAATGTATAACTAAAGAGGCTCAACGTTTAGTCGACGAGACTAAGCGAATGGCGACGTGAAATCCACAGCCGAAGGACCTGCATCAAAAATCGCAGGCTTGTCTTCACACTCGACTAAAATAGAACCCTCAGGTCGTCGGTTCGATCCCGACCCTGACGCTTATTGTAGGAATTCGAGTTTGCGTGTCTCTCTTCCCGTGGTCGCGTGGATTTTTCTCCGGGTCCTCCCGGTTTTCCCCTCCACAATTAGAAACATGCGTTTATAGTATTTGGCTGCGATACATTTCCAATTGATAAGCCACTGCGCGTTGGGCTATGATTTGTGGCCAGGTCCCTTCTGAAAACGAACTATATAGCTCAGTGGGCCTTACCTGGTAAATATATTTTTTTAAGTGATCAACGTGAATACAGATACCCCCGGCGATGGGCAGAGAGGGAGAGAGGGAGAGAGTGGTGGCACCGCAGACCCGCGTCGAAGGCCACGTCGTCCTCCAGCGCTTTCACGGCCGCCTCCACGGCATCGAGGGCGCTGCCTCCGCCACTGGACAGAAGCTCGTGGGCCCGCACGACGGCGCGCTTCACCCCCGCCACGCTCGCCTCGGCCAGATCGTCCGGGATGGCCCACGCCCCGCCGTGCACGACCACCACGGCCGGCCCGGGATTCCTCCTCCTCCTCGTCTCCTCCCCATCGTCACCGCCGTCGTCGTTCAGCTTCTCCGCCGCTTGCGACTTCTCGACACGTCCCGGCTCCTTGGCAGGCGCTTGCATCGCGAACCCCCCGCGCTCGCAGTGACGTTTTGTTCCGCTGCGTTTCTCGCCTCTCGATCGCGTTGCGCCGATGCCTGCCTTGTTGAGGGCGACATAGGCACGTAAGATAAAGATTGATTGATGATTGAGGTTCATCATAATGATCAGCCATGATCGATCGATCGATCGATCTACTGCGTGTGGCTGAAGACCTCCGCAATGCCATCGTCAACTCTCACAGCTCTGAGATGTAATAATCCACCTAGCACCTGCACGAGATGATTGCATCGCTCCATCTACATACAGTACTACATGTGACTACCTACACTTTACTTACTCCACCACATGTAATATTGCGATCAACTAACTGCGGTGTACTCGTTTCAACTGCTGAGACCATCAACTCATTCTACCTGGGAACCCACTCGTTCGCCATCGTTGTCAACGCGTGGCCTGGAATCTTCTCCAGGCGGTCTCCAGAGCCCGGAGGTGGCAGCACATGTCACGTGGTGTTGTTGCAAATTCTCGGAAGTGTTCACATTGTTTTGAAGCACCCCCTGCAGTTGGCAGATGCCACTCTCGCAATCGGTCCCCGACTTATCGGTCCCGCCCGTCTCAGACCACTTTGTTGGCTCTGCTTGTGCGCCAGGAGCCATGCGCCCTGCATGTGTTGTCAACTGTGGCTCAGACGGGGTGGTTTGGGAGGAACCTGGGGCAGACTTTGTTTTGCACCCAATTAACTGGGATCTATAAGGCAGCACTGACCCTGCTTCCACTGCCGCCATGTGGGGATGTCATCATTTTGCCCGAATAAACGTTGGAAATAATAATAATAATTTCATGTTATTTTGCGGAATTCGCGCAATCGCATCCCACAACGCTGTACATCGAATGAGCCAGTCCCTTACACGGATGATATAAAAAAACAAAACCCCACTACTTAGCAAATCAAAATCGAAAAAGATGAATACGTAAATAACGGGAGAAAATGAGGAATGACCATTGCCTGAAACGTCACTTATTATATTGTTTTCCTCTTCAGGCCACAGCGTTATTAGCGAATGTGTTGAGTTTTTGTATATATTTTTGTTGTTATTGTCCTTGTGCACGTCCACTGTCAACACAGCAGCAGCATTATAAGATAATCTTTAGCATTTCAGACGCGCATAACAGATTATATTCTTGCCTATGCAAATATGTTTAGCAGCTACATGCCAATATTGAGGTGTGCTAGCCACGACAGGGCTTCGGGAGAGAGGAGAGAGTTCGTGTAGTTTTTTTTTTCCGTTGAAGGAGCAGAGACTATGGTGGTTAATATGTATGCATGTTGAACTTCTTTCGCACCGTACATTGCCAACCGTGCTAATCGGAGGTGCGGTTTACCATATGGTCCATGGTTGGAGTTGCATGGCCAAATCACACTAATTAGGCTATCGTTAATGCATCTCTATGTGTCTTTATGTATCTATAATGTGTCTATTTAGGTGTATATGTATATCTATGAGTCTATGTGTTACTATGTGTCTCATTGAGTTTACTACATGGCCCATAGTTTGAATTACATGGCCACGATCACACTAATTTGGCTCATCTTTCATGTATCTCTATGTATTCATATGCATCTCTACGTATCTCTACGAGTCTATTTGTATATCTGTGTTACTATAGAGCTCTGCGTCTCAATGGTTTTACTAAATCATTCCATAGCATGCAATGCATGGCCACAACTCGCACTGCCGTGGCTCGCGTCTTTAATTTTCCATTCATGACTAAGCTGCTTCGAATCATGCACTCAAAGCACAGCACACACGCACTCACGTGGCCGGGTGGCCTGCACGCGACTTGGAATGTCAGACTCGCGTTAGCATCGCACGCTTCGACAAGCAGCAGCATAGCATACAGCAAGGGCATAGATTCACACGCGACACACAGCAGCGACACGGAAAGCCATTTTTACCTCTTGCGCGCTGTCGATTCAAAGAGCCGAATGAGAAATGCCGAATTTTAAACAGGGCGGTCGCAACTGCAAGCGACGATGGCTCCTTTCGTTAAAAAAAATCAACAAAGTCCACACGCGCGCACACTCACACGTACACTCTCACGAACACTCTCACACTCACTCATTCAAGTCGACCTGTGACCCATGACCGTGAAGAGAGAGAGAGAGAGTGTCTTGCTTGCTGCACTGTAAGGCTGCTTGCTGCTGCAAGGCTTTGTAAGCGGTTTGGTGTCCAACAGTTTAACATTATGGACCGCGTGCCTCCACTCCTGCGGACAAAAGCGCATAATCTTAAAGACGCAACACACCATGAGCATCAAGCCAATCTCATCTTGTAGGTGATACGTCTCGCTGATATATATGCATCTGCCTGTTTAACACGTAGGAGGCTTTCGCGACCAATGTCATCCATAATACAGTTTTTTTTGGGTTAGATCGCGTAAATATATAAATGTGTCGTTAAACCCGCTACCACCCGACACAGCCAACTAGTAAGGGTTGTCACGTAAACAGAACGTGCCAATTCGTCACTAGTACAGCACACCGGTGTGTTGGAGAGCCAAGCCTGGCTGTCGCCTGATGAGGCTAGTTGTAATTACTGGCGAAACGTCGTACTCAGATTGTAAATGTAGTGGTCATGGCTCTCCAACACACCGGTGTGCTGTGCTAGTGACGAATTGGCACGTTCTGTTTACGTGACAAACCTTACTAATTGGCTGTGTCGGATGGTGGCGGGTTTAATGACACATGTATGTATTTACGCGACCTAACCCCAAAAAACAAACCTGTACTATGGATGTACCTGTCTCTCCACATAAACAATAACATACGAACCACCGCTCCCATATTATTCTGGGCATGCGATGAGCAGCGTTTATTCAGTACAAACAATCTCTGGGCCGGTTTGTACTTGTAACATCTCGCTTGCAAGCCAGGATCCTCGCCAGTACGATGCAATGGTAAAGACGAGGAATATTGTACGTAGCTCAAAACGTTATTTATAGCAACGTTGCGGAGAATATAGATGACAAAATAAATAAGCGATGTCTCCCCCACGTAATTTTTCGTAGCATTTTGTACAATCTATCAACCCGCCACGGCCTTCTGAGGGTGGGGAATTTCAGCAGCGTTGCTTCGAGACAAAGTAAAACTCCGAACCAGGTTTCTAAATAACAGCGTCTCATCGGCAGCCTCAACTGCCACAGGTTATTGGCAAGGAGCCTCTTTCTAAGATATGGGTCTGATGCTTTGTCTAAAAATACATTTGATATTTTTTTTGCACGTGGAGAGACAGATAGTGGTGTACGCTCTTTGCCGGCGACATTGTGCTATGCGGTGAAAGCAGAGGGGTAGTGGAAGACGATTTGAAGATCTGGGTGCAAATGATTGAAGGGAATGGGTTGAGGATCAGTCGGACAAAGACTGAGTATATTGTGGCAAATTTCAGTGGAAATTATGCGGAAGGAGGTTTGCAATTTGGAAATAAGCAGTTAATGAAGACGAATGAGTTTCAGTGCCTGGGTGCAATGGTGTGGTGCTGATGGATCACTGGAAGGATGGATGAGAACAAGGGTTGGATGACTGGTGTGGTGTGCGATAAGAGGGTCCCAGTTTGGTCGAAGGGAAAAGTGTACAAGACGGTGGTGAGACCGGTGCTGCTGTATGGGGCCGAGTACTGGGGCAGAAGAAAAAGGGAGGACCAAGCTATGGCAGTCACAGAGATGAGGATGTTGCGGTGGATGTTGGGTTCACCAAGGAAGGACAGGGGGGTGAGAAATGAAGAAGTGAGAGTTAGACTCAAGGTGGTAGACATCACAGAGAAGACGAGAGGGAGAGAGAGAAAAGGCTCCGGTCTGGTTCGGTCATGCGGAGAGACAGCAGGAACATTATGTGGGTCAGAAGGTGCAAGTGATGCTAGTGGAAGGAAAGAGATCAAGAGGAAGGCGGAAGAAGAGGTGGGGCGATGTGGTGCGCTGGGACACGGTGGCCCAGAAAGAGAGATGGCGCAGGACAGGGCAGCGTGGAGAAGGTTCGCAATGACAGCGGGGGACCTCACACGAGTGGGACAAACGCGTGGAAGGGGACGAAGACGGATACTGTTGACGAGGGGAGACGTCGCTTCTATTATTTATATTCTCCATAACGACACACGATTATTTCGAGGTATTTTTTTTTGTGGTGCACAACTTAGGCGGTTGGCTTTCGGGCTGTCACCGACACGTTCCTACTCAACGAGCCGTAGAGAAAACTCCGCGAGCCGACGGCGATAAGGCGCGTGCGGAGAAACCCACTCAACTTCCACGCTCTGTTGACGGACTGAGAATTGCACAACGACGGGAGAAGCGCGTTACATAACCAGCAACGCCCCTCTCTCGCCTGCCAGCGAGGTTTTTTTTTATTACGAGTCGGTGGTTAACACCTCACGCGTCGATTACTTTAACCTGCCGTTTCCGCCGCCTTATCTATGAATAAACAGGCGCGCACCGCACACCCGTCTCTCTCTCTGTCTCACGCAAGGTTACAACTTGTGTTGCGGACGACAAATCGACGTGGAAAAAGTCGCCGTTTCCACGAAAAGATGACTCTGGGGGCATAATGGGTGGGGTGTCTACTAAGGATTAACAACGCATGAGTAAACTAAAACAACCATTTTTTTCTTCCAGGGAAGTACCCACTGAGCTATTATAGATATTTTTTTTCAGAAGCGACCTGGCCACAAATGATAGGTCAACGAAGCGGCTTATCATCACGTGGAAATATAAACGCGTGATGTTCATTCTAAATGTGGAGGGAAAAACTGGAGAAGCCGGATAAAAATCCACGCGACCATGGGGAGAGAGACACGCAAATTCCAAATATACAGGCGAACCCATGACCTCCTGTATATCAGGCTAGGCAGTGAACATATTATAGAAACTGATGCAATGAAAACAGACACTGAGAAGAGAGAAAAGAGAAAGGCCTAGGAGCAGATTAGAAGTCGCAGAAGACATAGATAGCCTTGGCACAACGATGTTTAACGATAAAAGCAGTGGAGAAAGATCTAGAACCAGACGGGAACCATGCACTAACAAAAAAATCCCCCCCTCACTGGAAACACGACTGCGTTGTCGACTGCATGTTATGAGACAAAGTATCCATTCGCATCTCTCACTCTTGTGAAGTGAATGGCCCACGGAATCAGACATCGCAGAGCTACCGCTGAGGTCTCGACACGCGACGCCTGCTCGACACGAGAGAGGGCAGCACTTCCACACTGACAGTAATGTTTGTCGCGTGACAGTAAAACGAATTTTGATGAATTATCAACGCGACGCGCTGATTTTTTTGTAGTTGCGTGCAGTCAAAAAGCAGAACGGGTTGAGACTATCAACTTCTATGTACTTGAAAATCCGGTTTTAATCGAATGCGTCTATCTGGCTTTTGTGGCGATGTTGGTGGTAGTTGTCGGGCAAGAGGAGAGGGGTTGTGAAGGTTGTTGGTTTTATGGAGAATATGACGATGTGTGTGTATGTTGAACTTCTTTCGCACCGCACGTAGCCAACCGTGCAAATCGGAGGTGCGGGGGAAGGACGACAAACTAACACACAACAAATCTGTTCCGTCACGACGGCAGCTGTACAGGATATTGGGGGCGGTGGTGGTTATTGTCGAGGAGGGTGTTGTGGCGATTGTAGGTGGTGGTTAGCGTTGGTGATTGCCGTTAGTGGTGGTTGTTATCGGTGCGTGGTGGCGATCGGTTGAGGTAGTTGCTGCTGGGTGGCTAGGAAAATGAACGCCACTAATCTACCAGATCGGTGAACTTCAAAGGAGAGGGGACAAAAAAAATGAAATGGTACACTCTGTTCAACACCCCCACGAAAATCCAGAAATAGCTGCCGTGGAGTCGCGTTTCCCCCCCCCCCTTACCGCTTGCAGGACAAACATAGGTTAGCCCTGAGGCTGCTGGGTCCGCACTGGGTTACGTAAGGTGACACAAGCACGTGGCATTTACTGAGAATCCTACAACGCAGCTTCAAAGACTGAGTCACGTACAACCCAACTCTGCAGGGATTAACACGTGACTCCACGCTCACTGGCATAAGGTCCACGACTATAGGGGACACGCGAGGTGCGAGTCGATGGGTTTGTTACAATCAAGTGCAGGTGTTACTGCATGCACATCAGGGTTTTTAGCTTTGGCCGGGTGTGTTCGGGTATTGCCCGACACACCACATTCACAATACTCACAACCCCCAACTCAGGCTGTAGGCTACTACGAGTCGAGTGCCAAATCCAGTGTACCAGAGACCTCGAAAATATTTTTCCGCGCCCAAATACACCACGTACAGTATACATCTCACTACTATTAAAACTAAACTTAAAAAAATATATACCAGGAAAGGCCCACTGAGATATATAGCTTGTTTTTTTTTAAAGCGACCTGGCCACAAATGATAGCTAAACGAAGTGGCTTGTCATGTGGGCATTTATCGCAGCCAAACACTCTAAACGCATATTGTTGATTCGAAATGTGGAGGGGAAAAACTAAAAGACTCGGGAGAAAAATCCACGCGATCACGGCGAGAGAGAAACACGCGAACTCGAAATACAGCGATACCTTGACTTTCGTCACTTCGCTCTTTCGGCCTTTGTCAATTTTAACCACATTTCAAATTTCGTCCACACGCTTTCCTCTTTCGTCCGATTTCATTCCCAACCCTTCCACGACGTTCGTGCCACGCGCCGTCTTTTTCGTTCAGTCTTTGAATAGAAGTCGTTCAGTGAGCATCTCTTATATTTGTGTTTATTGATATATTAATAATACTGTACTCATCACCAATATATTCATCGTCCACTTACGCAGGAATACAAACATTTCAAGGTATAATTTGGTTATTTAGTTTTGTTTGTGTTATTTATTCTTTCTTGATTTGAAGCTTTCGTGACTGCAGGAATCCATAGTTTGGTCCTTTCGGTAAAGTCACGTAGATATTGTTTATTTTTCTTTTATTTCTGTTTATTTAGGTTTCGCACGCATGTGTTATATTGTTACTGTAGTTATTTACATGTACGTTTTTTTATATTTACTGTAGTTATTTGCATGTACGTTTTTCGCCGGCCAAAAGAAATTTGCAAGCTAAATAAAGGCTCTGCTTTGACATTCGTCCATGCTCTGGTCCCTAACCAGACGAAAGTGCAAGGTATTCCTGCATACAGCAGGCGTCAGGGTCAGGATCGAACCCACGACCTCCTGTATACCGAGCGAGGCAATTAACATCTCGCCACTGCGTGTGCCTGCGCGAGTCTGCCAGCGATCCCGTGAGAAAAAAAAACAATCGCGAGAAATTATGCATTCACGTACGTGCATATCCTGCCAATTCACTTTGGGCTTTGGACGAGCGTTATGCAGAGTACTGCTCAGCACCGTAGTGCATTGTGGCGTCAATGCGCCAC